TACAACGCAAAATCCACAGACGGATCATCTTTGTACAAACATACAATATAATTAATACAATACATGTATATAAATATATAAGATTTAATTAACTGCAGCCACAAACAAGCTGTAGAGCCAGTGGCCCCACAGTCTAGACCAGGGGTGTCAAACATACAGCTTGAGGGCCAGAACCGGCCCCCCAAAGGGTCCAATCTGGCCCTCTAGATGACTTTGCACACCTAATGTTGATGCACATGTGAAGGCTGAGAGGTTTCAGGAGCTTCAGATACTTCATGTAAAATGCTGCCTCAGAGGCGTTTCCACTCTGACCAGAACACAGCTCTCTGAAATAACTATAAGTACTTTCTATGGTCATATTTAAAGATATTAAACATTGTGCAACATACTGTCAACCAGCAGCTTCAGTACAAAAGAATCTGTATCAGACTTATGTCTTAAACAATATTAGGACACATTCACACTGGTGCTATTTGGTCCGCTTTAAACGAACCCTGGTGCGCTTCCACGGATAGTTCGGTTTGTTTGGAGTGGTGTGAACGCTCATTCGAACTCTGGTGCGGACCAGATGAGGGAACCCTGGTCTGCTTGAAAACTGGGGTCTCGGTTCACTTGCAAGTGAACCCTGGTGCGGTTCGCTTACAGTAGGAAGTGCAAACGGACTATCAAGCGAACCAAAGAGAGTAAGTGACGTAGAGTGCAGTGCATCTTGGGAAGAAAAAAACAAAGCCAACAGTGTGAACCAGGAGAAGCAGAGGTAAAAAAAGAAAAGGTTGGAAGCTGTCTCGTGGGCAGACGAGGAGTCGTGAGGAGGTGCAGGCGCTTATTGATACATGGTCAGAGGACTCTATGTCGCAGTTGCTTGTGACTACCCACAATGGATTTCCGTTTTCGGTCGTGGCCATGAGCCGGGTTTTTTTCTTCCTCGTGCTTTTTATTCTTCCTGGTCAGTGGTTGTTTCGGGCAATACCGCCCCCAAACGAGCAGCTGGTGTAACTGTGTGATGTTGTCCAGGCGGTTTGGTCCGCTTTAAAAAGTGCAGTGTGAAAGTGAACCAAACCAAATGAAGGTGTGTAATTTTTCGACATTCACCACCCACTCGAATCGAATCCACTGGATTATCCTGATGTGAATGCGTCCTCAGTGGATAGCTGCTGCTGTGGCACTGACAAAACAGACTGTAAGGCAGGGGACGACTTAAACTGCTTTTTCAACAGCTTCCACTTTAGTGGAAAATTATGAAAATCATGTAATGAAAGTGAGCAGCAGACTGAATGTGGAAAAACAAAGACACACTGTTGAATTTACAGATAATTTTTCTTTCTTCTTTGTTTGGTAAATCCATGACTGTTTTCAGAATGAAAGAAGTGTGGAGTTTGCATGTTCTCCCTGTGTCAGCGTGGGTTTCCTCCAGGTGCTCCAGCTTCCTCCCACAGTCCAAAGACATGCAGGTTAATTGGTGACTCTAAATTGTCCGTAGGTGTGAATGTGAGTGTGAATGGTTGTTTGTCTCTATGTGTCAGCCCTGTGATAGTCTGGTGACCTGTCCAGGGTGAACCCTGCCTCTCACCTAATGTCAGCTGGGATAGGCTCCAGCCCCCGCGTGACCCTCGAGGATAAGCGGGTACAGAAATGAATGAATGATATTTATGGGTTATTATGCAATATTTCAGTGGTGCGACCCACTTGAGATCAAATTAGCTGTATGTGGCCTCTGAACTAAAATGAGCTGGACAGCCCTTGTCTAGATGAAAACCTGACTGAGATCCAGACGTATTTTAATATGGATGTATATGTTGTTTTATACTGTTCACAATGCAGACACTGTAAAGTCCGAGACAAATTTCCCACTGGGACAAACAGAGTCTACCCTATCCAGCTCAGGGTCGGCAAAGACCTGAATGATACTATTTTCTATAGATAGAGAGCCTGCACATGATTCGGTAAATAACTTAAAGGGATAGTGCACCCAAAAATGAAAATTCAGCCATTATCTATTCACCCATATGTCGAGGGAGGCTCAGGTGAAGTTTTAGAGTCCTCACATCACTTGCAGAGATCCAAGGGGAGAGGAGGTAGCAACACAACTCCACCTAATGGAGGCTGACGGCGCCCCAGATTCAAACGCCCAAAAACACATAATTGAATCCACAAAATATCTCCATACTGCTCGTCCGTAGTGATCCAAGTGTCCTGAAGCCCCGACATAAACAGTTGTTTGGAAAAACGTCATTTAAAGGAGCTATATGTAAGAAATCTAAAGCAAATAGTCTTAAAATCCTCCTAATATGTCACAGAGACTAAGGAATAATGTTAATATAACATACTGATCTCACCGACAACAATAGTACAGCCAGAATATTCACATTTAAAAAAAATTTACAGTACGCGAATCATGTTTATGTTTTGAATTTGGCCTGTTGCGCCACCCACCGCTGTCTACCAGTCATGCAGTCAGTAGAGTCTCAGCATCAGTTACAGTTACGACTGAGCTACAATGGCTGACAGTGTGACTAAACCCAAACGACCTCGTTATGATTCCCAAAAATGCCAAGACAAAACTCGAGGCAAAGCGAGGGTCTATATAGGATATGCTTTTGAACGGTGGAGACGGTTGAAAGCGGAGAAGAATTTGAAATCGGATGTCGAAGTGGCTACTCTTCTCCTCGACAGGTAAGCTTTAGCCAAAGTTGGCTAACTAGCTAGCCTGGTTCCAGACCATAGACCCCGCCCACTCAACTGAGTAGGCTTGCATCTCTGGTCTGGCATACTGCAATGAATTTGCGATTTATCTCGTCCAAACAATGGACGGACCAATGAACGCCGGGGGTGGGGGCGAGTCTAGCGATTAGCCAATCAGCGCCACGCTGATGTCAAGCTGTACGCCGGTGGGTAACTGGTGAGGATAGCAACAATGGCGACCGCTACAGATCCTACAGACCACATTAACGATGTTATCGAGGTATTTCGCCACTACTTGCATTAATGGAGGACCAAATTAAGGAAGCTGCTAAACTGGATTTAACGGCGATGCAGCTGGGCGTGCACGACGACAGAGACATTTTAAACGGGCAATGCTCGCTTGTTTTCGGCCACCCCAAGGCATGGATACTAATGACGTCAGATTCTGGGTGAGTCGTTGATCTCTACTGATTGGTTAGGGAAAAATCAAATTCCCTCCCCCTTGTAAATCGCCTTCAATGGAGGCGATGTCAGACTGAAGGTTCTGAGAGCTTCAGTCTGACACTCAGGCTACTAACTAGCATCATAGCTAGACGGGGATGGACATTTCGAATACTTTCAACTGTTAATCATTTTTGATCATACATTGTAGCCCGTGTGCAGGTGGGTCATCGACCCGACTGATTTTTTTGAGAAACAAACGTTAGCAGCACGGCAAGCAGCATTAGCAGTGTCCCAGTACATAGCATTAGCAGTCTCCTCAGCTGTATCCCTGCAGCAGCGTTAGCAGCAGAGAAGCCGGACTTGCTCGAACGGTCCGCTGGAAAACCGAAGATCAAGGACGCGGCGACGCGGCCCTGCCATGGCAGCCTCCTGTGGGCAAACAATATAGTCTCCAGCGTGCCGCTGTCCAGCAACCTCGAATCTGTAGGGGAGGGGGGGCGGACACGACTCGCGGCAGTATTTTGAATTTGAGTGCAGTAACTGTTTTGGCCACATTCTTACATACAGCGCCTTTAAGCTCTGCTTTTAGCCTCATTAGCCTGCAGCTGACTACCTCTCTGTGCATCACGCTCACGTGTGCGTGCTTGCACGAGACCGTGAGACATCTGCAACACGTTCATGGGTGTTCACGTGCTTTTGCTGGTCTCACGCGCAAGCACTTGGATCACTACGGACGAGCAGTATGGAGATATTTTGTGGTTTCAACAGGGGTGGGTAGTAACGCGTTTTTGAAGAACAAGTACTTTTTAAGTTCCTTTTTTAAAACTGTACTTCTACTCTTACTCAAGTATATTTTTGAGCCAGTAATCTACTTTTTACTTCACTACATTTGCCATTTACCTTCGTTACAACTAGTCTGCTCTAAATGCAGGGATTTAAGTTGAACATTAGGTGGTGTGCGAGGCACGTCTCTACTGCAGATGGAAAGATGCCAACAGAAGAAAAACAAACACCACACTGAAGCGCCATGTTCTGAACCCGGTGAACAAGCAAGCACCAGTCCTCCACTCCTGACCTGACCCCGACCGCAAAGATCATGTCAGAGCCAGGTCGAAACGAAGAGCAAGCGGGAGCTGCCTTCGACCATCCCTGGCCACATCTCGCCACATTTTTTGTGCCAAAATCCATAAAAAAGAACAGTTACTTGATGAAGTGCCTCCTGTGCCTGCCAAAAAAACAGGAGATCCTTGCTTCCAAAAACTCATCGTCGAATCTCTGCAAGCATATTGAAGTAAGTACGCACATAGCCTGCTATATAGGTGAAAATATATTGTATGGTTTTTTTCATTATTTTGCACTGGTCCGCACACCCTAAAAAATATTCAAACAGAAAGTAACTTGTACTTGAGTAAATTATTAACCAAGTACTTTTTACTTTTACTTGAGTAGGTTTCTGAAATAGTAAATTTACTTCTACTTGAGTAATTTTTTATGGCAGTACTTTTACTTGAGTACAGATTTTCAGTACTCTACCCACCCCTGGGTTTCAAGTATGTGTTTTTGGACGTTTGAATCTGGGGCGCCGTCAGCCTCCATTAGGTGGAGTTGTGTTGCTACCTCCTCTCCCCTTGGATCTCTGCAAGAGACGTGAGGACTCTAAAACTTCACCTGAGCCTCCCTCGGCATATGGGTGAGTAGATAATGGCTGGAATTTCATTTTTGGGTGCACTATCCCTTTAATAACTTTGTCAACCAGTAGATGTCTATTAAGAGGAGACCATATTTTCCCTGCACAAGCTTATTCTTCAGTCAGCATGCAGTTGTTGTGTCTATCTCAATGCACATGCACGTACATGGTGCAGCGCTGCCACCTGGTGGCCGCCCGCAGCTCCTACAGGAGGAGGAAGTGTTTCGGAAGTGGACACGGCAGGCCAGAGGAGGAATCGAAGGAAAAGGGCGGAGGAGAGGGAGCTACCGGGGGGATAGAGAAAATGATAAAGCACCGTGACTTTTAGCGGCAGGACAATTTATTATAGCTCACTTAAATATCGCAGGACTTCACAGACACGTGGAAGCTACTTTGTCAGCGGCTAACGGCACACGTCCATAAGGTAAGAGAGCTTGGTCGGCAGCCAGTGAAAACAACAGACGACGTAGTGAAGCTAGCTGGCAGCGTTAGCTAACCTACACGGCAAGGTGTGCAGCGGCTTGCTAAGCAGCTAGCACTGTCGTGATAGATGTGAGCATATCGTTGCAGATACTGTGACCTAGTGAGGCGAAGGAAGCCGGAATAATGATGGTAGGAAGCGTCTGAGTGGAGCCACCATTCAGAGGGTTACGGTGGTGTCATGCAGTCGATGTTGGCCAGCCGTTTTCTCACTGCCGTTAAAGAAGGCATCATGAAAGACCGATTGTGTGGCACAAGCGATGCCTGCGTGGCCAAACGTGTCGGCGGAGCTGTGTCAAACCAGCTGAAACGTCGTTTACAGTGTTTCATCGTGCTAACGGTTAGCTTGTTGTCTTGTCACAGTTTTGTTCACCGGGCTCGTTGGCGCTAACGTGACGTTATGTCAACGAGTTGCCAGTTGGACGTGGCAGTTGTGTTAATTTAACTGGCGCGATTAATAGCTGACAACATGCAGAGCTGACGTGCAGGGGCCCGGTGCCTCAGCTCGGTTTAGCAGGCAGGTGAAGTCAGTATGAAGGTATGTTATCAGGGAAACATCACTAGGGTTCAGGCAGGTTCTCTTTCTGCAAGGTTAGACAGAAAGCAGAGGGGCTGAGCTGGGTCCACCACCTCACCTGACCCCCTCTGCACCACAGCAGGACCACCTGTCCATCATCTGCTCACTGGACACAGGCAGGGTCGATAAAGAGACAGTCCTGCCTTCTCCCAAAATCCAGTGTAGGAGAGGGAGGGATGATAGTAGCTTTAATGCTGTAGATGTGGCCCCACAGCTGCAGGAGCCAAAGTACACTTTGCTGTTCATTTTACACACAGTACAGGGCGGATTATGAGACTGTGGGCCCCTTGGCACAGATATGCAAAGGGCCCCACCACCTCTCCTACACAGGAGCAAGACACACAGACTTTGTGGTGGTCTTGCATCTTTTTGGAAATTCCTTTTCTCCACAGTTTTTCAGGCAGCTGAAATGCATCTCACGCTCAGCACACGCATGCAGTGCAGGGTCAGCCTTTAAAAGTGGAGCAGTTTTGGGGGATTGGTGCCTTCCTCAAGGGCACCTCAGCGCCTCTCCAGCTGCCAGTCCACACTCCATACTTACTGTGTGTTCCAATACCCGCACTACCATACTGTGCAGTGTGCCAGATAAAGATTTAGTATGTTCCAATACATAGTATGGCACAAGCAGGATGTTCTACATGCGGTCAGATTTTGCAGTATGCAAGCCAGCATGCTTTTCTGGCTATTCTGACCCACAATCCTCTGCACAGTGTATGATCCATCACATTGACTGAGGCAAACAAATGACAGCTTGGTAGCTAGTTGACCCATGTTTGACAGCTAATCTGCAGTGACAGCGCATTCAAGTAACTGATGACCAGTCAAACAGTAATAATCATAAATGACAAACAACAAAATGAAATAATTATAATAACAATGACATGTAATTTCACTGTCGCAAATATCATATGTGAGAATCTACAATCTGTGCAGCTATAACTTTAAAGTTAAACTACACACATTGCAAAGTAACAACAGCAGAGCCTGTCGAGTTGATCACTGTCTCTGGCGAGCTCGGTGAGTGGTGTTTGTTTTATCTCCAAGGTAACAGATATGAAAGCAAGAGGGTCAAAGAATGTCCCAGTTGTGTGCACACGCATGCAACAGTTCATACTTTTTAAAGGCAGCTGCAGTACGTACTAAAGGTAAAAGGAAAATTCTCAAAATGCACCTGTAGTCCATATTGGGAATTGTACAGGCAACGTCCGGTTTCCAGGTCCAAGTCCCTGCGCACTGAGCTTCTGCCGCCCCACAGTCGCTGCTGAAACCTGGGATCGAACAACTTTTACGACTTTAGTCTTGTAGTCATTTTGTGTCTCTTTGTGGTGATTTTGAGCCTCTTCCTGTTCAGTATGTGGTAATTTAAGTGTAATTTTTCAGGTGAAGGCCCCGACACTTTGGTGTTGGTAGGCCTGTTCAGTAATCCATCCATAGTTTTATGGTATGGCGTACTTTTTAATGCACACACACATTTACACAGAGCAGCTTGTGCCATCCTGATGTAGTTACACATCCTGGACAGGCTCCAGCTGTGCTGCAGTACTGGGTCATCATCTGCCCCCAGGGGGAACATGCAAGAGGGGCAGCGAATTGATCAGTTTTCTCTCCACATATATTATTGACAGTGAATTTTTCATCTCTCCCTCTGTTCCCTTTTCTACTTCTCGTCTGCCTGCGCTCCTCCTCCCTCCCCCCCTCCCAGCCTCCTCTCATCTCTGTTTCTCTCCCTCCAGGTGACTGCCTGTTTGCTCTGATTGTAGCACAAGAGAGCCGCAGCTCCTGTCCTTCAGAAGAGTCTGTCTGTCGGGGCAAGTGGGCGGGAGGGTGACGAGGAGTTGCAGGGGGCCATGCATCAGGGGTGAGGGGGATTCGCACAGACACAGCATCGGGTGAGGAGGGAGTCTGGGCAGGTCGGTGTGGAGATGAAGCTAAAACAGCGCATGGTGGTGCTGTGTGCCGTGCTCCTCCTGCTGGGCCTGGCCAAGATCTTCCTGCTGGATGGAGGCGAGGGCTCTGCAGCCAGCCGACGGGATCTCAGAGCGTTTCGCAAGGTCAGACTGCCAGTCGGCTATTTTCAGTTTCAGTCTTGTTTTACAAGTGTGTTGAAACAGTGCTTTAATTTGGAGATAGCAGATGCACAAGACTCTGACTGGCTATAGCTGGTATGCAGTCATACTTAACAGGGCTAGGGAGCATTTGGCAGGCGTGTTCATGTTATTATCACCCACCTCTAACAGATGGAGGCTGGCCTTTCTCTGTCCCGGGGAGCTCGCCTTACCCACACCCTGCAGTCTCCGTGGGAGATAGCAAGCCAGTGGGTGGGCCCGAGAGAGGTGTACCCCGAGGAGACCCCAGAACTGGCCGCTGTGCTCACCTCCCTCAGCACTGCCAGGATAGAGCGGGCAGATGTGGGTTATAAGGGCACGCAGCTCAAAGCCCTGCTGGTGCTGGACGGAGGACAGAAAGTGGTCTTCAAACCCAAGAGGTCAGATTGATAATAATGGGATGACACGTTTTATGCTTAAGAGTGATTTCTTACTCGTGTCCTTTCCACTGTTCCTCAGATATAACAGAGACTACGTGGTTGAAGGCGAGCCGTATGCAGGATATGACCGACACAACGCGGAGGTGGCTGCTTTCCACCTGGACAGGTGTGTAAACAAATAGTGTCTGACTTTTATCCTCTCTGATCTGTTGATGGAGCATGGCGTCGTGTCCTCTCTGCAGGATCCTGGGGTTTAGAAGAGCACCTCTTGTGGTCGGGAGATACGTCAACTTGCGGACAGAGATTAAACCTGTGGCCACGGACCAGCTGCTGAGCACCTTCCTCATGCAGGGTGAGTGTCCGCCCGCCCTATCATCTTCTATCACACCTCTGATGTAACTTTGCAATAAGAAGTCAGTGTTGTCAGACACCACAGAGTGACAGTGCGGTCATATTGTTTAAATCATTTCCTTCTTCTTTTGACTCATCTGTCCACTCTGCTTCTCACTCTGATGTCACTCTCTCCGTCTCTCCATCTCTCTCCGTCTCTCACTCTTTATCTCATCTCTGCAGTCTTTTTTTTTTTCCTCGTCCTTTGTCAGTCAGCAGATCAGAGCATGTCCTGCTCAGTTCTGTTTGGTCAGGGTGTGGCATCGATAGGGATGGGTTTGTTTAAACTTTAACAGTATTACTACCATTACTGTAACTGCTTATCTATTTGGTACTTTGTAGTACTCTTATTGGTTCTTTTTGTTATTTTTTTTACTGTCTAAATGAATATTATTGCAACATCACTGCATTGAACAAATCACTGATTATTATATTTATATATGTAATTAAAATTGCGAGCACACCCATAATCGAGCTAACTCTATGTGTGGCTTTAGGCTGCTAGCATACAGAACATACCTGAGGTGGGTGGGGCAACAAGAGATGAACTATGAGCTTTCAGAAACTGTGTAATTCTCCACCTGCATGTGATGCAGAGGTTTTGGAAGGTTGCTCATTTCTGCCCTTATGTGCAAAACACTTGTTGCACCTGTGGCAATGAGTATTGTCAGCATCGACTCCAGTGAAGTGTAACCAGGCTTTTGAGCGTTTAGCTTTCTCCGCCATTGTTAATATTAAGAGCAGGGTGTGTGTGTGTGTGGGTGTGTGTGTGGACATGAAAGAGAGAGGCAAAGAGAGCGGTCCTCCCTCCTCCGCTCCGCACGTACTGCGTGCTCTGAGAAAGATCTCTCTTCTGCACTGGGAATAGTGAAAAAGCATCATAGACGTAGGTCTTAGTCTTGTTGCAAACTAGAAATGGAGCTGGTGAGATAAAAGGTGCAAGATAATGTTTTTGTAGCCTAAATAAATAGGAAATCCATTTTATTAATGTCTCCAATACTGAAAGTGGAACTCTTAACAGCAGAGCTTAACAATACTAGTCTGAGATAATTCAGCCCTGAGGCCTGTGTGATACCGAGGCTTTGGTACCCATCCCCAGGCATGCTACAGTGATACAGGTCTTTTTATTATAAGAGATTTTAATTCTCTTCTTGTATGTTTTTTCTATCATAGAGCAAAGATACATGAATGGAATTGTAGGTTATTGCAAACTAATGCAATATCCCGGCAATAAGTACCTTTTGTGAAGGGGGAACTCCAGCACTGTTAGACGTAAAGGTCACTCAACCAGTCCAACCTGTCGCTGTGCTTGTGGAAACGGGTGTTTGCTGTCTTATGTGGGTTTGAAAGAATTTAACCAAGTGTGACAAAATGACTCGGATTATTTTGTCTATAAACAGATATTTTCCGATGCTGTTTATTCTGTGGTAGCTACTCCTTAATGTCTCTGGGTGTTTTTAGCTGTTATGGGCGATGCTGCAAGTTTCAGGACGGGTTCTCACTTGAGTGCACAGAAAATGTTCTATATCATGACACACATTCAAGGTCACCGAGGACCTCCCAGTTCATGTCATGGATTTTGTTTTAAAAAAGAAAGAAAGAGAAAAATCATGTTAAAACTTTTACTCCACATGCTTCTTAGTTTTAAGCCCTTTTTAAATTTGTGCAAATTTGCAGGAAAGCCCAATCAGTCTTCTTTCAGCATTGGCAGTAGATTTGCACCGATTACAATTTTTTGGGCCAATACCGATTTCCGATTTGCAGAGTGTTTGGACAGCAGATTCCGATTTAATTTTTTCAAACCGCTTTACAGCACACAAGATATTGCAATATTTTCTATTTTTCTATCTATTATCTTTAGCTGCACTGTGCAGCAGTGAGAGCTCCGCAGTTCAGTTTAACACAGACAACCAACAACTTTCTCCTTCTCTCTTTTGATGTGTGTGCATGAATGATAAAGGTGAGAAGCCGCCCATGTTTCACTTCCTCACATCGCCCAAGCCCCGAGTTGCACATGTGCGTGTGTGTGCGCGCTGCTGATGTTACACGATGTCAATCATGCGGGCATTTTAAATCGGCATATTTTAGACTGACCAGCCGGTAGCAGGTCATGGCCGATGACGTGAAAACCGGCCCGATTCCGAGCACTGCTGATAAATCGGTGCAAGTCTAATTGGCAGTATAAAAACAAAATCGGGGAGTGCAGCAAAATGCCGCCTACCTACTTTTTATACAGAATGCGCCTTTTTCGGGGCGTAATGGGGGGCNAAGTTCCTTTTTTAAAACTGTACTTCTACTCTTACTCAAGTATATTTTTGAGCCAGTAATCTACTTTTTACTTCACTACATTTGCCATTTACCTTCGTTACAACTAGTCTGCTCTAAATGCAGGGATTTAAGTTGAACATTAGGTGGTGTGCGAGGCACGTCTCTACTGCAGATGGAAAGATGCCAACAGAAGAAAAACAAACACCACACTGAAGCGCCATGTTCTGAACCCGGTGAACAAGCAAGCACCAGTCCTCCACTCCTGACCTGACCCCGACCGCAAAGATCATGTCAGAGCCAGGTCGAAACGAAGAGCAAGCGGGAGCTGCCTTCGACCATCCCTGGCCACATCTCGCCACATTTTTTGTGCCAAAATCCATAAAAAAGAACAGTTACTTGATGAAGTTCCTCCTGTGCCTGCCAAAAAAACAGGAGATCCTTGCTTTCAAAAACTCATCGTCGAATCTCTGCAAGCATATTGAAGTAAGTACGCACATAGCCTGCTATATAGGTGAAAATATATTGTATGGTTTTTTTCATTATTTTGCACTGGTCCGCACACCCTAAAAAATATTCAAACAGAAAGTAACTTGTACTTGAGTAAATTATTAACCAAGTACTTTTTACTTTTACTTGAGTAGGTTTCTGAAATAGTAAATTTACTTCTACTTGAGTAATTTTTTATGGCAGTACTTTTACTTGAGTACAGATTTTCAGTACTCTACCCACCCCTGGGTTTCAAGTATGTGTTTTTGGACGTTTGAATCTGGGGCGCCGTCAGCCTCCATTAGGTGGAGTTGTGTTGCTACCTCCTCTCCCCTTGGATCTCTGCAAGAGACGTGAGGACTCTAAAACTTCACCTGAGCCTCCCTCGGCATATGGGTGAGTAGATAATGGCTGGAATTTCATTTTTGGGTGCACTATCCCTTTAATAACTTTGTCAACCAGTAGATGTCTATTAAGAGGAGACCATATTTTCCCTGCACAAGCTTATTCTTCAGTCAGCATGCAGTTGTTGTGTCTATCTCAATGCACATGCACGTACATGGTGCAGCGCTGCCACCTGGTGGCCGCCCGCAGCTCCTACAGGAGGAGGAAGTGTTTCGGAAGTGGACACGGCAGGCCAGAGGAGGAATCGAAGGAAAAGGGCGGAGGAGAGGGAGCTACCGGGGGGATAGAGAAAATGATAAAGCACCGTGACTTTTAGCGGCAGGACAATTTATTATAGCTCACTTAAATATCGCAGGACTTCACAGACACGTGGAAGCTACTTTGTCAGCGGCTAACGGCACACGTCCATAAGGTAAGAGAGCTTGGTCGGCAGCCAGTGAAAACAACAGACGACGTAGTGAAGCTAGCTGGCAGCGTTAGCTAACCTACACGGCAAGGTGTGCAGCGGCTTGCTAAGCAGCTAGCACTGTCGTGATAGATGTGAGCATATCGTTGCAGATACTGTGACCTAGTGAGGCGAAGGAAGCCGGAATAATGATGGTAGGAAGCGTCTGAGTGGAGCCACCATTCAGAGGGTTACGGTGGTGTCATGCAGTCGATGTTGGCCAGCCGTTTTCTCACTGCCGTTAAAGAAGGCATCATGAAAGACCGATTGTGTGGCACAAGCGATGCCTGCGTGGCCAAACGTGTCGGCGGAGCTGTGTCAAACCAGCTGAAACGTCGTTTACAGTGTTTCATCGTGCTAACGGTTAGCTTGTTGTCTTGTCACAGTTTTGTTCACCGGGCTCGTTGGCGCTAACGTGACGTTATGTCAACGAGTTGCCAGTTGGACGTGGCAGTTGTGTTAATTTAACTGGCGCGATTAATAGCTGACAACATGCAGAGCTGACGTGCAGGGGCCCGGTGCCTCAGCTCGGTTTAGCAGGCAGGTGAAGTCAGTATGAAGGTATGTTATCAGGGAAACATCACTAGGGTTCAGGCAGGTTCTCTTTCTGCAAGGTTAGACAGAAAGCAGAGGGGCTGAGCTGGGTCCACCACCTCACCTGACCCCCTCTGCACCACAGCAGGACCACCTGTCCATCATCTGCTCACTGGACACAGGCAGGGTCGATAAAGAGACAGTCCTGCCTTCTCCCAAAATCCAGTGTAGGAGAGGGAGGGATGATAGTAGCTTTAATGCTGTAGATGTGGCCCCACAGCTGCAGGAGCCAAAGTACACTTTGCTGTTCATTTTACACACAGTACAGGGCGGATTATGAGACTGTGGGCCCCTTGGCACAGATATGCAAAGGGCCCCACCACCTCTCCTACACAGGAGCAAGACACACAGACTTTGTGGTGGTCTTGCATCTTTTTGGAAATTCCTTTTCTCCACAGTTTTTCAGGCAGCTGAAATGCATCTCACGCTCAGCACACGCATGCAGTGCAGGGTCAGCCTTTAAAAGTGGAGCAGTTTTGGGGGATTGGTGCCTTCCTCAAGGGCACCTCAGCGCCTCTCCAGCTGCCAGTCCACACTCCATACTTACTGTGTGTTCCAATACCCGCACTACCATACTGTGCAGTGTGCCAGATAAAGATTTAGTATGTTCCAATACATAGTATGGCACAAGCAGGATGTTCTACATGCGGTCAGATTTTGCAGTATGCAAGCCAGCATGCTTTTCTGGCTATTCTGACCCACAATCCTCTGCACAGTGTATGATCCATCACATTGACTGAGGCAAACAAATGACAGCTTGGTAGCTAGTTGACCCATGTTTGACAGCTAATCTGCAGTGACAGCGCATTCAAGTAACTGATGACCAGTCAAACAGTAATAATCATAAATGACAAACAACAAAATGAAATAATTATAATAACAATGACATGTAATTTCACTGTCGCAAATATCATATGTGAGAATCTACAATCTGTGCAGCTATAACTTTAAAGTTAAACTACACACATTGCAAAGTAACAACAGCAGAGCCTGTCGAGTTGATCACTGTCTCTGGCGAGCTCGGTGAGTGGTGTTTGTTTTATCTCCAAGGTAACAGATATGAAAGCAAGAGGGTCAAAGAATGTCCCAGTTGTGTGCACACGCATGCAACAGTTCATACTTTTTAAAGGCAGCTGCAGTACGTACTAAAGGTAAAAGGAAAATTCTCAAAATGCACCTGTAGTCCATATTGGGAATTGTACAGGCAACGTCCGGTTTCCAGGTCCAAGTCCCTGCGCACTGAGCTTCTGCCGCCCCACAGTCGCTGCTGAAACCTGGGATCGAACAACTTTTACGACTTTAGTCTTGTAGTCATTTTGTGTCTCTTTGTGGTGATTTTGAGCCTCTTCCTGTTCAGTATGTGGTAATTTAAGTGTAATTTTTCAGGTGAAGGCCCCGACACTTTGGTGTTGGTAGGCCTGTTCAGTAATCCATCCATAGTTTTATGGTATGGCGTACTTTTTAATGCACACACACATTTACACAGAGCAGCTTGTGCCATCCTGATGTAGTTACACATCCTGGACAGGCTCCAGCTGTGCTGCAGTACTGGGTCATCATCTGCCCCCAGGGGGAACATGCAAGAGGGGCAGCGAATTGATCAGTTTTCTCTCCACATATATTATTGACAGTGAATTTTTCATCTCTCCCTCTGTTCCCTTTTCTACTTCTCGTCTGCCTGCGCTCCTCCTCCCTCCCCCCCTCCCAGCCTCCTCTCATCTCTGTTTCTCTCCCTCCAGGTGACTGCCTGTTTGCTCTGATTGTAGCACAAGAGAGCCGCAGCTCCTGTCCTTCAGAAGAGTCTGTCTGTCGGGGCAAGTGGGCGGGAGGGTGACGAGGAGTTGCAGGGGGCCATGCATCAGGGGTGAGGGGGATTCGCACAGACACAGCATCGGGTGAGGAGGGAGTCTGGGCAGGTCGGTGTGGAGATGAAGCTAAAACAGCGCATGGTGGTGCTGTGTGCCGTGCTCCTCCTGCTGGGCCTGGCCAAGATCTTCCTGCTGGATGGAGGCGAGGGCTCTGCAGCCAGCCGACGGGATCTCAGAGCGTTTCGCAAGGTCAGACTGCCAGTCGGCTATTTTCAGTTTCAGTCTTGTTTTACAAGTGTGTTGAAACAGTGCTTTAATTTGGAGATAGCAGATGCACAAGACTCTGACTGGCTATAGCTGGTATGCAGTCATACTTAACAGGGCTAGGGAGCATTTGGCAGGCGTGTTCATGTTATTATCACCCACCTCTAACAGATGGAGGCTGGCCTTTCTCTGTCCCGGGGAGCTCGCCTTACCCACACCCTGCAGTCTCCGTGGGAGATAGCAAGCCAGTGGGTGGGCCCGAGAGAGGTGTACCCCGAGGAGACCCCAGAACTGGCCGCTGTGCTCACCTCCCTCAGCACTGCCAGGATAGAGCGGGCAGATGTGGGTTATAAGGGCACGCAGCTCAAAGCCCTGCTGGTGCTGGACGGAGGACAGAAAGTGGTCTTCAAACCCAAGAGGTCAGATTGATAATAATGGGATGACACGTTTTATGCTTAAGAGTGATTTCTTACTCGTGTCCTTTCCACTGTTCCTCAGATATAACAGAGACTACGTGGTTGAAGGCGAGCCGTATGCAGGATATGACCGACACAACGCGGAGGTGGCTGCTTTCCACCTGGACAGGTGTGTAAACAAATAGTGTCTGACTTTTATCCTCTCTGATCTGTTGATGGAGCATGGCGTCGTGTCCTCTCTGCAGGATCCTGGGGTTTAGAAGAGCACCTCTTGTGGTCGGGAGATACGTCAACTTGCGGACAGAGATTAAACCTGTGGCCACGGACCAGCTGCTGAGCACCTTCCTCATGCAGGGTGAGTGTCCGCCCGCCCTATCATCTTCTATCACACCTCTGATGTAACTTTGCAATAAGAAGTCAGTGTTGTCAGACACCACAGAGTGACAGTGCGGTCATATTGTTTAAATCATTTCCTTCTTCTTTTGACTCATCTGTCCACTCTGCTTCTCACTCTGATGTCACTCTCTCCGTCTCTCCATCTCTCTCCGTCTCTCACTCTTTATCTCATCTCTGCAGTCTTTTTTTTTTTCCTCGTCCTTTGTCAGTCAGCAGATCAGAGCATGTCCTGCTCAGTTCTGTTTGGTCAGGGTGTGGCATCGATAGGGATGGGTTTGTTTAAACTTTAACAGTATTACTACCATTACTGTAACTGCTTATCTATTTGGTACTTTGTAGTACTCTTATTGGTTCTTTTTGTTATTTTTTTTACTGTCTAAATGAATATTATTGCAACATCACTGCATTGAACAAATCACTGATTATTATATTTATATATGTAATTAAAATTGCGAGCACACCCATAATCGAGCTAACTCTATGTGTGGCTTTAGGCTGCTAGCATACAGAACATACCTGAGGTGGGTGGGGCAACAAGAGATGAACTATGAGCTTTCAGAAACTGTGTAATTCTCCACCTGCATGTGATGCAGAGGTTTTGGAAGGTTGCTCATTTCTGCCCTTATGTGCAAAACACTTGTTGCACCTGTGGCAATGAGTATTGTCAGCATCGACTCCAGTGAAGTGTAACCAGGCTTTTGAGCGTTTAGCTTTCTCCGCCATTGTTAATATTAAGAGCAGGGTGTGTGTGTGTGTGGGTGTGTGTGTGGACATGAAAGAGAGAGGCAAAGAGAGCGGTCCTCCCTCCTCCGCTCCGCACGTACTGCGTGCTCTGAGAAAGATCTCTCTTCTGCACTGGGAATAGTGAAAAAGCATCATAGACGTAGGTCTTAGTCTTGTTGCAAACTAGAAATGGAGCTGGTGAGATAAAAGGTGCAAGATAATGTTTTTGTAGCCTAAATAAATAGGAAATCCATTTTATTAATGTCTCCAATACTGAAAGTGGAACTCTTAACAGCAGAGCTTAACAATACTAGTCTGAGATAATTCAGCCCTGAGGCCTGTGTGATACCGAGGCTTTGGTACCCATCCCCAGGCATGCTACAGTGATACAGGTCTTTTTATTATAAGAGATTTTAATTCTCTTCTTGTATGTTTTTTCTATCATAGAGCAAAGATACATGAATGGAATTGTAGGTTATTGCAAACTAATGCAATATCCCGGCAATAAGTACCTTTTGTGAAGGGGGAACTCCAGCACTGTTAGACGTAAAGGTCACTCAACCAGTCCAACCTGTCGCTGTGCTTGTGGAAACGGGTGTTTGCTGTCTTATGTGGGTTTGAAAGAATTTAACCAAGTGTGACAAAATGACTCGGATTATTTTGTCTATAAACAGATATTTTCCGATGCTGTTTATTCTGTGGTAGCTACTCCTTAATGTCTCTGGGTGTTTTTAGCTGTTATGGGCGATGCTGCAAGTTTCAGGACGGGTTCTCACTTGAGTGCACAGAAAATGTTCTATATCATGACACACATTCAAGGTCACCGAGGACCTCCCAGTTCATGTCATGGATTTTGTTTTAAAAAAGAAAGAAAGAGAAAAATCATGTTAAAACTTTTACTCCACATGCTTCTTAGTTTTAAGCCCTTTTTAAATTTGTGCAAATTTGCAGGAAAGCCCAATCAGTCTTCTTTCAGCATTGGCAGTAGATTTGCACCGATTACAATTTTTTGGGCCAATACCGATTTCCGATTTGCAGAGTGTTTGGACAGCAGATTCCGATTTAATTTTTTCAAACCGCTTTACAGCACACAAGATATTGCAATATTTTCTATTTTTCTATCTATTATCTTTAGCTGCACTGTGCAGCAGTGAGAGCTCCGCAGTTCAGTTTAACACAGACAACCAACAACTTTCTCCTTCTCTCTTTTGATGTGTGTGCATGAATGATAAAGGTGAGAAGCCGCCCATGTTTCACTTCCTCACATCGCCCAAGCCCCGAGTTGCACATGTGCGTGTGTGTGCGCGCTGCTGATGTTACACGATGTCAATCATGCGGGCATTTTAAATCGGCATATTTTAGACTGACCAGCCGGTAGCAGGTCATGGCCGATGACGTGAAAACCGGCCCGATTCCGAGCACTGCTGATAAATCGGTGCAAGTCTAATTGGCAGTATAAAAACAAAATCGGGGAGTGCAGCAAAATGCCGCCTACCTACTTTTTATACAGAATGCGCCTTTTTCGGGGCGTAATGGGGGGCATGAGCAAGTAACAAAACGTGTAGCTCAGCGTGTGACGTAAACAGTGACGTGGGAGGGAAGCCGCGGCTGGTCAGTCCTTCAGTGATTCTCTCATAAGTCGGCCCGTTCTTCACCGTCCCCGTCGTCTGACGGTTAATGGCCTCTTCGTTTGCGAGGACAAGGAGGGCGCGCAATTCCTTGTCTCCCCAGTTGCTCATCTTTACAGTGTCTGTCAGGTTTGTGTTTCCCTCTTGCTACTAGCTGCTCGCTAATTCCTGCTATCAGCTGTTTCCTGTTTATCCACCAGCAGTGGCTCGCACGTGCAGCGTCATCAACAGCTCCTCCCACAAGTCTTCAACAGCCCCTCCCGTTGCGGAAGGCCGCCTCAGTCTGTTTAAACTAAAAGGGTACCGCCAATATGTCTACCCTACGAGGCGGAAAATTGGGCACCTCGGATCAACTCGCCAATCCGGCTCTGTGTGTCTAAACGCTCGCAGCTTGCCGGCAAAATGGCCCAACATTCACCGAAAACCTGTCAGTGTAAAAGGGGCTATAGACTTTTAAAGTTTGGAGGCTTTGTTTTTGTTATTGTGTTATATGTTAATTACTTTTATTTTTGTTAGTCTCTGTATTTGTATTCTAAGCGTTCGTCATTTGCCCCTTTTTTACTGGATTAAGTTGAAATTTCTACTGAACATTCAAAACTTTAAGGATAATTTGCAACATGTATTCAGTTAAATGGCTGTTACTGAATGTTTGACATTATTCAAATTGATAAATTATATATATAAAGAATCTTTAATTTTAGTTTTCACTTTCTTGCTTGCGACCAAATTTTGATTCTGTAATAATAATGCTAATAATAATACATAATGATAATAAAAGATAAATAATAATTAGTTATTCGGTTGTGCCACAGATCTCGCTTTGGAGCTGAAAAACCTACTTGTAAAGATATTTCGCCTGTATTCTTTCTGAAGAAGCATTATTTTAATTTCCTTGAAACATTTTAGTTAATATTCATTGCAGATTTATGAAAAAATGTAAAGATATTTATAGTATTGCTTCATCATTTAACACTTTTTTTGTACCTTTCAGTGGCTGTGATATTACGTTCAGCGGTTTCATAGGCATGTTTACAATATTGACTTCAAGGGTTGTTTTTTTTAATCTCCGTTTGATACCTGTTGAGCCTGTTTTTCTGGGTACAGGAAATCTTCATCTTACATCTTGTATTGGCTCAAGGCAGTTTATCAGATTTCCAGACTTCCCCTTTGAAGCAGCAATCGTGTCTTTTCACTTGTTTAGCAAACAGCAAAGATTGTGAAATATCCAGTGCAGTTATTTTGGAGCTGCAATGATTGGTTGATCGACAGAAAATTAACTGGCAACTATTCTGATAATTGATGAATTGTTAAGGTAATTTTGCGAGTAAAATACTGCAAAACATTTGAAGGGTTCAGTTTGTGTGATGTGAGGATTTGCTGCCTTTCCTTCTTTTACATGATAGAAGCCCAAACGTATGTGGTATTTTTGGGTTTTGGGCAATTTTTTGTTGACAGTTATATCCTGATGTTCAGTGGACTAAATTATTAATGGATAAATAAATTAAAATAATCATCAGCTGCTGCCATAGTTATTTCTTTAGTATGCAGTGAAATAAACTGACAAGGTTACATGAGTACAGTACAGGCCAAAAGTTTGGACACACCTTCTCATTCAATGCGTTTTCTTTATTTTCATGACTATTTACATTGTAGATTCTCACTGAAGGCATCAAAACTATGAATGAACACGTGGAGTTATGTACTTAACAAAAAAAGGTGAAATAACTGAAAACATGTTTTATATTCTAGTTTCTTCAAAATAGCCACCCTTTGCTCTGATTACTGCTTTGCACACTCTTGGCATTCTCTCGATGAGCTTCAAGAGGTAGTCACCTGAAATGGTTTTCCAACAGTCTTGAAGGAGTTCCCAGAGGTGTTTAGCACTTGTTGGCCCCTTTGCCTTCACTCTGCGGTCCAGCTCACCCCAAACCATCTCGATTGGGTTCAGGTCCGGTGACTGTGGAGGCCAGGTCATCTGCCGCAGCACTCCATCACTCTCCTTCTTGGTCAAATAGCCCTTACACAGCCTGGAGGTGTGTTTGGGGTCATTGTCCTGTTGAAAAATAAATGATCGTCCAACTAAACGCAAACCGGATGGGATGGCATGTCGCTGCAGGATGCTGTGGTAGCCATGCTGGTTCAGTGTGCCTTCAATTTTGAATAAATCCCCAACAGTGTCACCAGCAAAACACCCCCACACCATCACACCTCCTCCTCCATGCTTCACAGTGGGAACCAGGCATGTGGAATCCATCCGTTCACCTTTTCTGCGTCTCACAAAGACACGGCGGTTGGAACCAAAGATCTCAAATTTGGACTCATCAGACCAAAGCACAGATTTCCACTGGTCTAATGTCCATTCCTTGTGTTTCTTGGCCCAAACAAATCTCTTCTGCTTGTTGCCTCTCCTTAGCAGTGGTTTCCTAGCAGCTATTTGACCATGAAGGCCTGATTGGCGCAGTCTCCTCTTAACAGTTGTTCTAGAGATGGGTCTGCTGCTAGAACTCTGTGTGGCATTCATCTGGTCTCTGATCTGAGCTGCTGTTAACTTGCGATTTCTGAGGCTGGTGACTCGGATGAACTTATCCTCAGAAGCAGAGGTGACTCT